GTGTGCCTCTGCTCGATGTGCCTCTGCCCGGAGGCCAGCCCGGTGTGCCGCTGCCCGGAGTCCTGCCCGGTGTGCCAGTCTTTGATATCCCGCCAGTTGCCAGACCCGGGCGGTGGAACATTTTGCCCAGCTAGGACTGTTTGGAGCGTCCTGAGGCCGCTCCTTGAGGGGGGGGTACTGTTAGGAATGGACTGGCCAGCAATGGTGGGACTCACCTGCCTTTTGATCTGCAGTACCAGGGCTGGCCAGCGGGTGTTCCCAGCAATCAGAGACTCAAGTTTGCAGCCAGCTAACACCTGTAACTGATTATGCTGGGGTATTTAAGGGATGGCCAGACCCACAGACTCTGCCTTGGTGTGTGTTTGTCCTGGGCCCTGCATCCTGTTTCTGTCCTGCATCCTGTTTCTGTCCTGCATCCTGTTTCTGAACCGCTGCTGACTTCTCCTGCTCTGATCCCGACTCGCTCCTGACCAACCCTCTGTCTGACCCTCTGTACCACGCTGCTTGCTACCTGTTCTGATCCCTGGCTTGTGACCCCGACCATTCTCCGCTTGCTCCCCCTGTACCTACCTGCCCAATTGATATTGACCCGACCTGCCTGACGACGCTTGCTTGTATATACTGTTATCTGTGGGTGGTTGGTTTGGTTTGTTTGCACTGTATTATGTTTTAGTATTGCACTGCGTTTATGTTTGTACTGTTAGTGTTAATAAATTATATTGTTTATAACATATCTGAAGTCTGCGTTTCCCTGCTTCAGTCACACACCTCTGGTCATACCTGGGAGCCCTGACACCCCTATTGCATGTCCAAACTACCCTTACTTGACCATCCATGGCGTTGCGTGCCCGGAGTATAGCTACCTGTGATGCCACTGAGTGCTTGAGCCATCGCTACCCGTTGAGTCCCCGTGAGCCTGATGTTGTCCCAAGCACGATGTTGAAGCCGGGCTCCACAGCCCAAGTTCCGTTGAGTCCCTGTGAGCCCGCTTATCGTGGGTATCCCTACAAGCCGCATGTCGCGGAGTGCCTTGAACTGTCCTGGTTGAGTATCTTTCATGGTTCAATAAAGCTTTGTGTGTTCCCCATCTTCTTTGTGTGTTCTGTCCTGCCTACGCTTCCGTCACAGGAGTGTTAGTGAGCATTGCTTCCTCCTTCAGAATCACACGTGAGAACGAGCCCTAAGGGTTTGTATTGGATCCCATTTCCTGCTTGTTATGGATAGGGATGTTCATTCCATATGTACAAAGCCTGCTCACAGGTCTACTTCAAGGAGAAGCCCAAATCCCATGGATGAGATCACAGAGAGAAAGATTCCCTCAGAGAGGAGAAGACATGAGAAGAGGAAGGTGATGGAAGATTCTACATCGGTGAGGATGGAGGACACCCAGAGATATCAGGAAACACACCGAGAGACGGGAACAATCACAGACGTCACATTTTTCCCGATCACTGCAGGATCACAGATCTCACTTACCACAATGTCTGAATTTTACTCTCCGGGTTCATCAGAAAGGAAAGATCAGGAGGAGCCGATTCATCTTCTTCTGCTCTGTCCTCTCCCGGACAATCTTTACTGGAAATAATACATCTCTCAAACCTAAACCCAACAATGAGACAATAATTACCACCAGGAATGTATGACCTCTGACAACACGACAACAATGTAACACCCAACATTTCCCTCCCACATGGCTGCCTTCCCTCCGGCTCTACACTCTCATGCTGGTCCTGATGTCATTGGTGGCTATGACCGATCTTTGAAGTCACACTCTAGACAAAACGTTTGATGCCCCTGATATATATATATATATATGTACTGTATATACAGGATCTCCGACTACCTACACAAGAGGTTCCATTCATCAACACATTCTGGGAAATCCTGGAACACCACTAGAGATGAGCGAAGAAATGAAAAATTCGATTCGGCTGATTCGGCGAATTCCAGTATGAAATTCGATTCGATGCGAATTTCTCTCCGCTACGAAGATGACTTATAAAAAGGGTTTCTAGGCTTCAGAGAGCCTTTAAATTAGTGCAGAACACTGTACCTTTTAATTTAAATGCCCTTGGAGATGAGGAAGGAGAAGGAGAAGGATGAGAAGAAGGAGAAGAAGGAGAAGGATGAGAAGAAGGAGAAGGAGAAGGATGAGAAGAAGGAGAAGGATGAGAAGGAGAAGGAGAAGGATGAGAAGAAGGAGAAGGATGAGAAGAAGGAGAAGGATGAGAGAAGAAGGAGAGAAGGATGAGAAGAAGGAGAAGGAGAAGGTTGAGAAGAAGGAGAAGGAGAAGGATGAGAAGAAGGAGAAGGAGAAGGATGAGAAGAAGGAGAAGGATGAGAAGAAGGAGAAGGATGAGAAGAAGGAGAAGGATGAGAAGGAGAAGGATGAGAAGAAGGAGAAGGATGAGAAGAAGGAGAAGGAGAAGGATGAGGAGAAGGAGAAGGATGAGAAGAAGGAGAAGGAGAAGGATGAGGAGAAGGAGAAGGATGAGAAGAAGGAGAAGGATGAGAAGAAGGAGAAGGAGAAGGATAAGAAGAAGGAGAAGGATAAGAAGAAGGAGAAGGATGAGAAGATGGAGAAGGATGAGAAGATGGAGAAGGAGAAGGATGAGAAGAAGGAGAAGGAGAAGGATGAGGAGAAGGAGAAGGATGAGAAGAAGGAGAAGGATGAGAAGAAGGAGAAGGATGAGAAGAAGGAGAAGGAGAAGGAGAAGGATGAGAAGAAGGAGAAGGATGAGAAGAAGGAGAAGGATGAGAAGAAGGAGAAGGAGAAGGATGAGAAGAAGGAGAAGGAGAAGGATGAGAAGAACGAGAAGGAGAAGGATGAGAAGAAGGAGAAGGATGAGAAGAAGGAGAAGGAGAAGCAGAAGAAGAAGGATGAGAAGAAGGAAAAGGAGAAGGATGAGAAGATGGAGAAGGAGAAGGATGAGAAGATGGAGAAGGAGAAGGATGAGAAGATGGAGAAGGAGAAGGATGAGAAGAAGAGAAGGAGAAGGATGAGAAGAAGGAGAAGGAGAAGGATGAGAAGAAGGAGAAGGAGAAGGAGAAGGATGAGAAGAAGGAGAAGGATGAGAAGAAGAAGAGAAGGATGAGAAGAGAAGGAGAAGGATGAGAAGAAGGAGAAGGATGAGAAGAAGGATGAGAAGAGGATGAGAAGAAGGAGAAGGATGAGAAGAAGGACAGTTCTGTGACAGTTTCTGTCTATTTCTGACAGTTCTGGGACATTCACTCCATACAGCGGTTTCAACCGCTGTATGGAGGGAATGTCATAGAACTGTCAGAAATAGACTATTTCTGACAGTTGGACTGTCCTTCCATACAGCGGTTGAAACATTGTATGTAATTTGTTGGAAACAAATACATACAATGTTTCAACCGCTGTATGGAAGGACAGTCCCAGAACTGTCATTAATAGTCTATTTCTGACAGTTCCATGACATTCCCTCCATACAGCGGTTGAAACAGCTGTATGGAGTGATTGTCCCAGAACTGTCATAAATAGTCTATTTCTGACAGTTCTGGGACATTCACTCCATACAGCTGTTTCAAACCGCTGTATGGAGGGAATGTCATAGAACTGTCAGAAATAGACTATTAATGACAGTTCTGGGACTGTCCTTCCATACAGCGGTTGAAACATTGTATGTATTTGTTTTCCATAAATGGATCCATTTATGGAAACAAATACATACAATGTTTCAACCGCTGTATGGAATGGAAGGACAGTCCCAGAACTGTCATTAATAGTCTATTTCTGACAGTTCCATGACATTCCCTCCATTGTCCCAGAATATGACAGTTCTGGGACAATCACTCCATACAGCTGTTTCAACCGCTGTATGGAGGGAATGTCATGGAACTGTCAGAAATAGACTATTAATGACAGTTCTGGGACTGTCCTTCCATACAGCGGTTGAAACATTGTATGTATTTGTTTCCATAAATGGATCCATTTATGGAAACAAATACATACAATGTTTCAACCGCTGTATGGAAGGACAGTCCCAGAACTGTCATTAATAGTCTACAGCTGTTTCAACCGCTGTATGGAGGGAATGTCATGGAACTGTCAGAAATAGACTATTAATGACAGTTCTGGGACTGTCCTTCCATACAGCGGTTGAAACATTGTATGTATTTGTTTCCATAAATGGATCCATTTATGGAAACAAATACATACAATGTTTCAACCGCTGTATGGAAGGACAGTCCCAGAACTGTCATTAATAGTCTATTTCTGACAGTTCCATGACATTCCCTCCATACAGCGGTTGAAACAGCTGTATGGAGTGATTGTCCCAGAACTGTCATAAATAGTCTATTTCTGACAGTTCTGGGACATTCACTCCATATAGCTGTTTCAACCGCTGTATGGAGGGAATGTCATGGAACTGTCAGAAATAGACTATTAATGACAGTTCTGGGACTGTCCTTCCATGCCGGCTTGGAATTATTCTTATTTTCATCCTTCTTCTTCTTCTTCTTCTTCATCCTCATCCTCATCCTCTTCTTCTGAGGATGAGGATGAAGAAGAAGAAGAAGAAGAAGAAGTAGGATGAAAATAAGAATAATTCCAAGCCGGCAAAAAGTGTATGTGCAGAGCTCCTCTAAGTGTATCTGCAGAGCTCCTCTAAGTGTATCTGCAGAATAGAGGAACTCTGCACATACACTTTTTGCCGGTCTTGGAATTATTCTTATTTTCATCCTACTTCCTAATAGATACAATGTTTCAACCGCTAAACATGTGTTCCTTCTGTCAGAGAACTGTCAGAAATAGCGGAGCTCACTGCAGGGACACTTTTGCCGGCTGATCTGGAAATGTTCGATTCGCGCACCCGAAGTAGGCAAAATTTCGGTTTCGACGCGAATCGAATATTTCCTGAAATTCGACTCGAATTCCGGTTTCGCCTAGTTCGATTCGCTCATCTCTAAACACCACTTTGGTTAACATATACAATGCAGTCCAGACATTCCCATCTCCGCCCACTTCTGCAGACAATTGGTCCCTCCATGTTGGGGTGATGATGTCACACCCCTGGAATTATTTCCCTCCCCCAGATCTCTGAACACTAAGCTTTCCCTCCATTGGCTGGACATACCCATTCCTGTCCACCAATGAATGACTGGCAGCTCACACCTGACCCGGCAGGAGGAGGGCGATAGGTCAGTCGGCACCACTGCTGAACACTGGACAACCTCTAGGAGGTGCAGACACACTGGGGAGGTCATATAATCTATTGATGGGACATAATATCCCAATACTGGGGGCTATGAAGTGAGATGGGAGGGATTGCAGTCATCATTCCCCTCCCCCACTCATCTCCCCCCATACAGGTTTAGGGGAACCCTCTATATGTGTCCTGATAATAACAAGACCCCCGCTATCATCCTTTCATGTTGGGGGTCTGTGCTGTATATTGGAAGATAGGAAAAGGGGGAATGAAGAGGGAACCTTCCGGCCGAGTTTCTCACCATTTCACAAGAGATCGACCTTTGGACAGATTTGTGATTTATTATCTCCACACAGCCTCGTCCTTTATACTGGATTTAATGGAGAGATTGGAGATTGGATGGTGTGTGTGCCCTAGAAATCATTGTCGGGGCGATTTATAGAAGGGCCCTGTGAATGGCTCAATATTCACACTTTTATAGGGTGAATGTGACATTCCCTAACATTCGATCAGAAGAGGAAATCGTCCCAATTACATTCAACCTGAAGAGTTAGAGAAGATTTTATCTCCAGTCATAAGAAGAGAGTGAATCAGGAAAATACTGCATTATGGCCACTAGATGGAGCTGATGGTCAGAAGAAATAAATATTAAGTGTAATGACTCGTCTACTACAGAGATCGATCTCCTATACAGAAACATACAATGTACAGAGATCGATCTCCTATACAGGACACACAATGTACAGAGATCGATCTCCTATACAGAACATACAATCTATAGAGATCGATATCCTATACAGAACATACAATGTACAGAGATCGATCTCCTATACAGGACATACAATGTACAGAGATCGATCTCCTATACAGGACACTACAATGTACAGAGATCGATCTTCTATACAGAACATACAATGTGCAGACATCGATCTCCTATACAGAACACACAATGTACAGAGATCGATCTTCTATACAGCAAACATACAATGTACAGAGATCGATCTCCTATACAGAACATACAATGTACAGAGATCGATCTCCTATACAGGACATACAATGGTACAGAGATCGATCTCCTATACAGATACATACAATGTACAGAGATCGATCTCCTATACAGAACATACAATGTACAGAGATCATAAATCTCCTATACAGGACATGCAATGTACCGCAGAGATCGATCTCCTATACAGAACATACAATGTACAGAGATCGATCTCCTATTACAGAAATCATACAATGTACAGAGATCTAATCTCCTATACAGGACATATCAATGTACAGAGATCGATCTCTATACAGAACATACAATGTACAGAGATCGATCTCCTATACAGAAACATACAATGTACAGAGATCGATCTCCTGGATTCGGTATGGGCGGTCCCCTCTGCAGTATGGGATCCATGACACAGCCAGTGGGGAGCTCAGGAATCTCCATACACGGAGCTCAGCTTCTTCCACACATTTATTCGCTCTTCTGGTCGAATGTTCTTAGGGCGATGTTCTCTTAGGATGGAATGTCAGGGAATATTACATTCACCCTGTGAAAGGCAACAGATGGAAGCTGACATCTCACACAAATTAACAAACATTGCCGGGAATTTTGGTGACTTCGGCACAAATTGTAAATCTTTCACACAATGACCATCTTTGTATCCTCCAGATCCTCTGCTACAAGTACATGTAGAGTTTTGGGGGATGGGGTACATGTGGGTGACATGTGATCATGTTGTGTGATGAATGGTATAATTGGGGGAGGGGCAGGGAAAGGGTTTAATCCAATGTAAATTGTGGGGATTCTCCAGAAGACCTGTATCAGTGATATCTGTGGATCCCCCATTTAGCTCTGGTTCTCACTCTCCTGACATGAAAGTCGCAGTCGACTTCCAGCTCCACTTTGCTCTCTCAACTTCCGCCCTCCCGGTGACCAGGGGCCACTTCAGGGGCCACTTTACTGAGAAGAAGCCTTCCAAAGTGACTTTGATGGGTTAGGTTGTTGTTGTTGTTTAACCCTCACCTCTCCTCCCTGGTCATGCCCGAATAACTTCCTCCCAAGTACATTCCATTCACTGCTGAGCATAGCAGCACACGCTTGTGTTCTCACTTTGCATGTTTCCGTGTTTTCAAGAATAAATTCACGTAATGGCCTTCACCTGAATGGCCGGCACCTGCGTGCAACAAACGCCCAAAGTCACTCTAGAAACATTTCATTCAGGTGCGCATTTTTTCAGAATGCGAGTGTCCCGAAACCCAAGGCACACATCCGTTCCGCGTTACAAATGCGTGTGAAAGTGGCGGGCAGCGACCGTCGGCTAAGCAACAAATCAGCGAGGAGAATGTCCCCCAAAACCCCCGGGGGAACCCAAAAAGGGCCCAAAAATTTTCGT